CTAAATTGGTATTCTGTATGCTGAAGTTTCCTTTTGAATACAGAAATAACTCCTTCACATAGTAAGCTTCACTTTAATTAAGTTGTTCCAGAAATAATACATTGTTCTACTGGGTACTTCAGACAGCTTCATTTAAACAGAGTGGGCAACTTCTTACTGCAAAGTGGGAGCAAGGTTTAGTAAAACAATTAAACAGCATAATTTGTTCAAATACAAGAAACTAGAAGCAGGACATAATCTGTTATTGTTTTTCAGAAAAATAATTGAAAATTTCACTTTTGAATGGATGTTCACTATGAGCATACATTTCAATTTTTTAATTTTCTAGTGTAATATGTTTACAATAATATATATTTTTTGTATAATTACTAGTCCTACAATGAATTAATGTAATTCTGGAAAGGAGAATTTTAATTTTAAATACTTTGTCATGATTTTGAATTAGTAAAGGTCTACAATGATATCAGTCAAACATTAGAAAGTAAAACCCTGATGTACAACAACATCAGTGCAAGTTGAAAATTTGGAAAAACCCTTAAAACTGTAATTCATTTATTAATCATTTTTCCACATAATCTAATAGTAAAACATGATGATATTTGTCACAAAATCCTAGGCTTCAGGCATATGCACCATGCAACAAGTGATTACAGTAAACATGTTTAAAAAGTTTGATGACTGTAATTTTACTAAGGGATCAGTAATTACCACAAGATGACAAACCTTAGAACCTTATGATAAGGAAAGACCTTTAATGTACATGCAATCAACAACAGACCTAAATTTATTATTGAAAAAATGACAAACCTGTATGAATTTTTTTCTTCTCTGCAGCAGAAACCTCTTCCTTACAGATAATTGCAAAGAATCTATAAATAGGATCATGATGATCATCATCACGATGAAGACTTCATGGCTGAAACTTCATCACTTTTTGCTATAACAAACTACCAGTTTGAGCTATCTTGTCCTGTATACATGTATATAACTTGTCTGAACCTACATGTACTGTACCTTCACTGTTATCAAACAGTAACATGACAGAAGTCACCTAAAAAAAAAGCAAAACAAAATTTAATGTCTTATAATATATTAAAGATCATGCACAAGTAATCAGTATTAAACAAGCAAGTTATATCATTTTACCACAATTTTTTCTGCACATATGATATCTGCATTAAATATATATTAAATAATAACTTTTTAAAGGTCCATTAAGCCTTAGAAAAGATAACATTTTTATTTTTCAAACTTTCCTTTTACATATCTTGTTGCAGTTCTCAAATAGTTACATGTACTCATTGACCATGTACATGTAGATAAGTTATCTGGCAATTGGTATAATTACATTAATTCAGTATTTTGTATGTAAGTCAAAATAATACTTTGCTCACATTTTGCTACCTTTACAACACATGACTGTTTGTTCAGTGTTACTCTTTTCAGTTGTTAAACATTTAAAATGCTCTAAATACATCATTAAAACATAATTGAACACATATTTGACCTTTCTAAAGAATTACAAAATTATTTATCTTTGACACATTATATGTGCTTTTAAGATTTTCAATATTTTTTACCAGAGATTCTTTTACCTATACACTTACTCTATAGATTAATTACTAAGAACAGAAGATAATGTAAAATGTACTACACATTTAGTAACACACAACTTGACAGCAAATTATACATTTTTCAATATAATAAGATACAAAAAGAAAAAACTGTTTCTCTCTGTAACCAAAGAGAAATCATAAATATTGTAAACTTCAGACTCATACTCTTATTACTACCTTTAGCTAAGGTTGTTATAATATATGTACTTTTCCAGTCAAAATGAGGTAAATATTTTTCAAGGAATTCTTCTTATAAATTAATATGCGAACACAAAACAAATAAATATTAACAATATGACAATAAGTTAAATTCAGTATTTGACCATGATGGTCAGTCATCTAAAGGTAAATGTCATATATGAATTACTTAAAGGGACTTCACTGAGGCTTTTGACATGACCAGAATGGAAATAATATTTCAAGATTGATAATTTGATATTCTATTTGATGTAGATCTTGGCAAAAAACCTATATGCAAAAATTTCAGATCATGCACTCGCTCTGTTTTCCCAGAATGATTACTTGAATAGTGTAAAATGTCCCAAAAATGAACAGTGCTTTTGATTCATACATGTATTGGGAAGAATAGAATTAGAATAGCACAAATATACAATTTTCAATGTATTTCTGAATATATTTCTTAATAGCATGTGCATATCATTCTGGACACAAGGAAAAAACAACAGCATTTATTGCAAAAAAGCTGGTATACTGCTTTTGTACAGGAAATACTTCCATGACAGTAGGGTTCTTCTTAAATTTGACTACTAAGTCGAATATGTGTTTCAAAATTTTCCAGAGCTCAATAAAATAAATGTGGTTTTTTCTTATAAACAAACATTTAAAGAGAACTTACACTGAACAATCCTATCATAGTATGTCTTGACCATGTCACATTTAAAACCTCACACAACAGTTTATTATATCACACACCTGAAATAAATGCATTTCTTATTTAACATTCATATGATTTTCATATCAACAATAAAGCATTTCCAACTTAAAGTTATCTAAATCATTTGGCTTAATAGTCAAATCAGCTACATCATGTACATGTATATATACCAACTCAAAACAGGTCAATGCATCAAACTATTGGGACAAATCAGAAGCAAGTAAAATGTTGACCTTAACCATTCAGACAATATCATTCATGTTTATAATATACAATGATTATTTGTGAAATTAATCAGTCAAATCCCATGACGTTATCAATTTAATTTCATATATATATATTTTTCTTATATCAACAATTTTTTCATATTATTAGAAAATCCCCTAATCATCATGTAAATAAAGTGTTATATGATACACAGTCTAAGTACTATCGTCCGTTTTTGTATGCACTAGCATAGAGCAGAATGGGGAACCACGCACTTGTTTGTGGAGAGAACACTTCTGGATCAGGAATTACCTTCTAAAAAATCTAGTTGTAGAATCTTTCTTTAAATACAGGTAAATATGACTGAGTGACAGGGCTTGAGCAAAATAAATAAAATCCAGTTGTTTGCATGTGTGTTTGTCCTAAGGGGTCTCTTTATTCGCTCATTTAAAGCTTAATACTAGGTAATTATGTACATAAAGAGAAACAGAAATTCTAAAAAAAAGTCCAAAATAGCAATATTGAAAATGCTGCAGACTCAGTTTGATTGAGCCAGTTTATGGATAGTACTGGAAAGTGCATGCTACTGTTCACACCCAATAGCATTAGGTTAAGCAGTATTCAACATTTAAACATGTAATGGTAAATTTTTTAAATTAGAAACATTAGCAGGTGTATTTTTATGGCAGTGATCATGGAACCTCCAATGTGACATGTTAGTGCCATTCCATGAAAAGTGGCGTATGATTCCCAAAGAATACAATGTGTGTTCCCTTAATGAAAAAAAGAATGGGGGAACTGAACAAAAAAGGATACTGTTCTTCAAGATTCTGTGTATTTTTTTCTGCGTTTTTCTAGATTGTTTCAATAATTAGAGTAATTTAGACTATAAAAACTGAATTTGCAAAATATTTGAACTCAGTTAGTGTCAGTGTGAGAACTGAAGCCTAAAGAATAATCAGACACCTCCTCTAGGACAGACTTACTACATGTAAGGCCTTACTGTTTGCATGTAAACAAAGTAGTTTTTTGACTTCCATACAAAATACTAAATCACTTTAACTATACTGATTGCTAAAAAGCAACAGCTGAGGCAAAAGTTGGTTCAGATAATTGCCCATTGAGTAACTTTTTGGAAGTTATAACAGGCCACCAATAACTGGCTTTTGAGAAATAAATTAAAATCATTTCTGGGGCATAATGGGCCTTAAAGCCAGTATGTGCTAGGGGGCAAGGACAGTAACTTTCATTTTCCAGTACTGTTTAGCCTCAAACAAACCGAACCTGCAACATTTTCAATTGTGTCATTTTGGGTGTTCTTAAGGGATTCTATTTTCCTCTATGATATGCATTGTAAACATAAACAATAATTTTTGATTCACCAATCTGCCATTATATAATGTCATGCGACAAATACCATGGCCAATAGAACTATAGAAAATACAATGTATGACAATCTGCTTGTAGAAACGAATATTTATGAGTAAATAAAATCAATATATTATCATACTTATCTATTACATCAATCTATTATCTAGTTTATTTATTAAAACTCTGAAAGTTATATTAAATATCATAATATATTATTGATACAAATGAGAATCCAGATTAATTCAATAATTTATTGTTATACTGTTAGTTCTGTTAAACCTTTATCTGTTATCTATTAAATATAAAGGATATACCAAACAAATTCCAAAAATACCCAAACCATAAATATTTTTCAGTCCAAATGTATTTTAAAAATTTTTGTTAATTTTAGGTGGGGCGAATCGTCACTAAATTCGGACGAATCGTCACTGTGGCGAATCGTTACCCTGTTACCGACAATTTTTATTTATAAACAAATTAATCTTCAAAAATTAATCTCACGGGTGGTTCAGTTTCATAAAATCTTTCTTATTTAATCGAGGTAAACTGTCAAAATTACTCAAGAACTTACAATTTCTTCAAAATATCCTGGATGTCTGTATCAAATAACGAAAGTCGAATCAAGCTGTGGAAGAAGCATGGCTGACCTCAGTGACCTGTCACGTGATTCAATCGCGCATTGATATTTTTTCTGTACACAGCACAAATTTACTGTAATTTTCGTTATCATAATACATTTCAAAATGTATGATAACCCTCCTGTAATGAATGAAGGTACGGATTTTCTAACTTGTTACCGACAATATGGAACTATTTCCTACGTGCATGTATAATTCAGCCGAAATTCGGTTCGCAGTAAGCCTGAGATGTAGCTTATAACTTTGGCTCGCTTTGCGCAAGCGCAGCGACCCAAAAATGTAATAGTTTATGAGAGTAAATGTATGTATCCGGTATCCGAGGATGTGGTCGAGCTGAGTTCATGAACACTGTAATCATTCTGAAATAAAATACATAGAATGTGAAATAGAACGATGCTTTTACCTGGGGAATGATAGTACTGCGACATACATTAAGGCAATTACCAACGTCAACATTATCTTATTATGCGCTTTATTGTCGTCAGCTATAAAATGATCAAGTTTGGGAAAAATCAAACTTCAAAACAGAAATGTCATTTAATCCGAATTCAGTAATGAAAGGTTAAAATGTTAGATTTTTATTTGACTGAATTTGTCAAATGGCAATTTTCAAATACATGTAACTGTGTTTCTTTTGCCTGTTAAAAAAAGACTATATATTGTTTTTTTACCGGATTCTACACCAGTATAGCATTAACTACTAACTTCTGTTGAAAAACAAATAGCAGACGAAGAGCATGGGATGTTTTGACGACGACCATATCGGAACTCGGAGGCACCGATACGAGGTCCGGTAAACTAATGTTATTGAGATCTCAAGACCGAATGCTGACCAAGTCCGGCAACCTTTGCTTTCTAGCCACAGAGCCTTGTAAACCATGTTGACATAATTATGTATGGCACAATGATATTCAAAGATTATATCACCAGTGAAGGACATATTTCAGTAATAAGACAATGAAAAAGTACAATTACCTCGAATATACTTCTTCTTGAATTTATATCTTGGTCGTTGTCAATGAATTCCTTAAATAGAAGAAACTGATGTTTCATTTATTGAATTACTGATCATAAGTTTTACCATACAAATACTGATAATAGGCTGTTTTAATCTGAGCTCGATGACAACTACAGGATTTACATATGGCAGCCGACAAATCAGTCAGCACGTATTTTCAAAGTTTCCCTAAAGCTAATGAATGCCTTGTCCAGATTGAAAGATGGTCGAGTCCATTAAAAATATTTAACGGATAAGGATAATATGAAATAATAAGAATTAAATAAAATTTCAAACTTCCATTATAAACATCTGAAGTATTTCAGAACTTAAGTTTCGCCTATGGCAGAACAACCTCATTAGTTTTATATTTTCAGGTTAACAATGGCTACAGAGCTAGTTAAGAATTATTACAGCTACTTTGCCTACTAGGTTATAAAATGATAAAATAACACAGAATAAGTGACATACAACCTTCTTTACTTCCAAGTAAGAAGCTAAAATCTAAACACGGTAAAAGCTAAAATCTAACACGCGGAGAAATTAAGTGTTTAGCATCATTTATATTTATTCTGACTACTGATGTGACCAAACATAATCTTGAATTTAAGACAAATTAATGGAACAAATATATTACCTACCGGAACAGTAATTGGGAATTTTTTCATTTTATTTTTCACTTTTACAATGCCACATATTACACAGATAAAGCAGACGACGATACATGAACTCGCTACAACTACCACAATTAATGAAGAATGATTTCGTTTTGCTCCTGAAAAGAAACGAATTTCTAGAAATTCAACATTTTAGATCCATACACACAAAACAAGATAATTTGATAAAACATTACGGTACTTGATAATGTAGCTACATGTATATTTGCTTGATCATTTACTTGAATTCTGTAAAAGGTCTAAATCTATCGACAGCTGTAAAACTTAAATACGGTGATAATTGCAAACTCGCTTTTGTTTGAGTCTGTTCATGATCTATGTATCCTGCACCGAATTAAACTGTATTCAATCTTTAGCAAAAACAATATTTTAATCATTTTCCAAAAGGGTCAGAATAACAATGTTTGATTAATTAAAATGTACAATTTACACGCTAAAAATAAAATTTAGAAATATTTGAAGTGCGACATAGATAGTTAAGGTAATGCAACGAACAATAAATCATTGAAAGTGAAGTCCGTCAATTTTACAAGGAATACGTTTGATATTTGCACGGAAACTTGCGAAATTTACCGAACTTGCACGATCTATTTGATGGTTGCATTACCCGGAAATAAATACGTGTGTGTTCACCTGCTGGTTTACCAATGATACAACTATTTTGACCACGGTGATCCATGAACAAACCTTCACTTTGCACGCATACCATGTAACTAACACTGCTGTCAAGGTCGCTGATTCTAATGTTATTTCTTTCGCCGGTCACATATTTTACAACCGCTTTATCTATCATAAAAACACACAATCGTATACATGTATATTTATAAATAGTTTGCTTCTTATCAACAAAACTTCAAACCTTTTTTAAATTGAAAAAAGGCCTGTACTATCATTAAAATTCTAATGTTGCTGACTTATGTTTACTTTTCAAAAGACTATTGAGGCTTATATAGTATAAACTACCCTTTTTACCGACCATGCTTGAAAGTTAAGACCCTGTCAACTTGATATAAGTAAGCACTAGTCTTTACCTTGACATAGATTGTTTAGTTTAACTTTACAGATAGTGATGATGAACTGGTTTATATATGGACGAGGTGGTTGACTTTCACAAGGTAAATTATCCCAGTAAATCACTATAGATCCAGGTGGCGAAGACTTGTGGGACTCCAACCTTAAACCAACAGGAGGCCGTAAATCTGAAAGGTTGAACACATGAATTCTGTTATTGCTTGCTTGCCACAATGACCGTATTACAGGTCCTGTTAGTGCATTGAATGAATGAATGAATGAATGAATGAATTAATTAATTAATTAATGAATAAATAAATAAATAAATAAATAAATAAATAAATAAATAAATAAATAAATAAATAAATAAATAAAGTCTACTGCATTATTTATAAGAAGAGGTAAGTAATACCTTCGGCTTGTGTATACAGGCACTTCGACCATTTAATGCCGGTTTCAACATGCCCAATCCCAAACCGATATCTGCGTGGCACGGGTCCGTCCTGATTTAGAACATAGCCAAAGGACGACTCTTCTGATATATTGGTCCAGTTTATCGGAGACTTTTGTTTGAAAAAGAAAATTTATCAGTAAAGAAATGTGTCATGTGATATCAGACAAGAATTTCCTGGATTAGGATTGGTTTTTACAAAACTAGTACAGTAATTATTATCAATTCTAATCTTCAGTTACATAATTAAAATAAGGTTGAGTTAGCTATATTATATTTTTAATCCTGCCAAGATGATAATAATTTCTATAACCATGCATCTATTTGTGACGTCCTTATAACACCAGAACACACGTAAATCACTTGACCGGTTGATACCAGTTTGCGGGTTCATGAGCCAATATACAAGGAAACTGTTGTTTGCGATAACTGGTACCACATCTTGGATTATGTCTTCATTACCTAGAAATAAAAACACCTATGTTTTTGAAATATTTCTAAACATCAACACAGCATGGAATACAACTTATTGTTGCCCTCCACTAAATGACAAGATTTGATAATAGTTTTGGCGGATGAATGATTGAATGGAAGTGATTGTTACTTCCACTGCTTTAGTATGAGCTGTATATTTAGAATATAGAAGCATATCGTCCGGGAGGACATGTTCCTAGCAAGTGTTGTGAAAGGCATTTTGCTTTAACACGATATAGTGTTGTATATTTGGTTTTACCGTCATATTTGAAAGCCCTTTGTAGTCATTTTTAACTAAGATAATTCATTTAAAGATTATGTGTTGCAAGAGAGGAAAGTACATATTTTAATTAAACATCTTTTATTAGATGTGCTACAGATAATGTATTGTGGTAATGTATACTTTTTAGTATAACTAGTTCAAAATGTCGGCATGTACATAGTTTATATGGTGTATGATAGTTGGCGCCTTCAATAGCAGCCATATTAGGCTATTTCATTTTAGATCTCACTACGTATAAACACTAGTAACGGATTTGTACAATATACAGTTAGGTGTATTAACCTTTTTTATTTTTTGCACCGCAATAAGAAACAAACTTTTAACGCTGAAATACGATAAAGTCACACTAAATTGAACTACAAAGTACAAACGTATTAACATTTTTAACATATTCGTACGAATAACTAAAAAAGCGATGTCTTATACAAGCAATTGACAGATAAATATAAATCAAAGCACAGAAGGCGCTGAATTTGTTTAGGTCTCAGAATGTCAGAAAGGTGAAGGTTGTGAGATTATAAACCAATTTGTTTGTATAGTGTCACCAATGCTGTTTCCAGTGTTATAACTATAGTAAATTGGCTATAAGACTAATTGCAATACTGCTTCAATGTTTATTTGGCTTAAAAAATGAGCTGCCTGAACTGGGGTGTGAACTCCAGACCTCTCGCTTTCAAAGCGAGCGTATAAACCCCTCGACCACGGGGAGGTATGAGATAACAGCCTGAAGATTAGAATACATTTTAAATTAGAGTTTGTAACCCTTACTAATTTCGATATATTTTGTTCACGGTAAACCTGTTGTTTAACACTGAAGTTAATGGTCATGGAGCTGAATATAAGCATCTATATCTATAAAAATAACACAATATTAGAAATCTTCGACCAATCGGGAACTATTTTTTTCGTTACGAAAATTAACGTGCCTGTCATTTGACAATCTTTACGCAGTGATCTCCCCTTATTTTTTTCGGCGTTAATGTACATATGAATGTAAGTAACCGCTTCGAGGAGTTTGGACTACTTTCGGTATTTGCAACTAAGAACATCAGGGTCTGAAATTTCGCTACCATTATTAAAATTTTGTTTGGTCTGACGACCCAAACAAATAAAAACGGTTTCAATCATTTGTTTCTTCATTATCAAATAATCATTGGTTGAGTTCATGTGTTGTTTTAGAATAGATTTTGAAGTGAGCCACAATGTTTGTTACTTTGTGATTTTGTGTTTTGCATGCGACAGTTTTTTTTCCAAGAAATGGTTAGAAATATGTCAAAGTTTAGCAAAAGAGACTTCGGCGTACAGGTTTTATAGTACTGCTAGACCAGTTCGCTGAAGCCAATTCCGTATCAAAAGTCAACCAGAAATGTGACATATTTATGTCACGCTGTAATTCAATAAATTTGCGTTATCTGGACAAAAGCTATTTTAATACGGGTAGTTAACTTCAGTCTATTTTTTAACAAAGAATGTTTAATTGATAAAATAATGCCTCATAATGTTTATCAGTGCATTTATACTATTTGCCATTGCTGGCCTAATCTTCACGTGACTTGCAAGAATTTAGGTTCGGATACCCTTGCATGGTGACCCGTGACCCAAATCTAAATGCAATTTTTACTTGAAAACATGGTTTTGAAATTATGAATAACGATGTATTTATTCAATAACATACATTAATTGTATTTTTACTACCAAAAACATGTTAGATTCATATTGTTTTGAGTGATTATTCATGATTATTTTTGTATTCATTTACAATCGTCCAGTACTTAAAATAATGTATGTTCCGTTACTAAAAAAAGATGCTAGAATTCCCAAAACTTGAAGTCCCGCGAGATTTCATTTGAAAGCACAAACAATCTAACAAATAGTTTGGTACACGATGTCATTGAAGTTTTATTAAAAAAAAAACGTGAATTGATTAAAAATTGATTTGTTCACCAAATGGTATTTTTATTTGACCAAATTTGATTATTTGATAGTTATTTATGTACTGCACATGAACGGTCGTCTTTGCTAATAGGGTTGACACATAACTTGACTGTCGCACAACGTCAATATGAAGTTAAGGAAGCTAGAACTAGTCAAAGTTGTGATGAAGTATCATGCAGTTCAAACTGTGGGAAACATAAGGTCATCGATAATGGCCGCGTACATGACTTAAACATTATTTGCTATTGTTTGTTATTTCTTTTAATATTTCAATAATGAACATATACCATGTTCTAGTAAAATATTTTCAGACTCCAGTGGCATATAATTTTATTGTAGGTCTTTTATTTTTCCTTTTATGCTTGCAGATGTTTCTCCTATGCGGCAATATTTGGATGAAAAATATGCCTCAACATTGTGTCACAACTTATGCAAGCTTACAGGGAAAAGTACAATAAATATTTACTATAATAAAGGGAAATATTATAGATATGACACTCTTACCTTCGTTGAACTGTGGTATAAATAATGACGAATATAGAGAAGAAGCTCCGACAGATGTCGCTGCTCTTAGTCTGATGTCATATCCCGAGTCACATGTTAGTGTAGCTAAATTATTATAATTGTCACCAGGAACTGATAGTGAAGTCACGTGTCTGTTTGAAGTAGTCGTGTTGATAAATATGTCCAACATAAAATGTGTTATAATGCCTTGTTTTAAGTCACTTGACACATCCTGTATAATTTTATAAAAAGATCACATACAATAGTCATGTTTTATTTATTTATGATAATTATATGAGATATCTTGAAAAGTACCTGTAGTTCTTTGAAATACAAAATAAGTGTCCGACAAACTGTTATGACTCAGACAAGTCAAGAAGATACATTCAAGCTGCACGCCTCCAAAATATTTTTAAAAAATCAAAATGTAAGTGTAGGTTACCTTTTTGTTTAACTCAAAATATTTTACATTTAATATATATTTTTTTTAATTTTCGTGAAAATTAACATAAATATGGGAGCTTCTCGGATGGACAAATTAATTTCTCATGTGAAAATATTCTGATGATCCATATTCTAGTGCTTCACATCTATGCACGCTCTAAGAACCATTGCAGTCAACATTCTGGTATGGAGAGTGTGCTCTTTTATAAAAAAAAACAGGTTCCAAAACATTAAATGTCTCACAGCTTTCCGGAGAAGTCGCTGTTTGCGTCATATTAACATCGTTGTTATAATAACTCTTCAATCGTAAACTCCTTTACAGGTCTGTACTAACAAGTGGTAGAGCACAAGAACTCAAAGTGAAAGATAAAATGCAATACTGAAAGCACTAAAAAAAAACTTCACTATATACCGGTTTTATTACGTTGTGCTGAGTAACATAGACAACATACCTTCCAATAAATCCGGATAACTCGAATATTTTCATCAGTACATTTATTTTGAACCTCGCTAAAGCATCCTGTTGTAACACCAGGTACACCAGCAGGTACTATACAAATAATAATACTACTTGTTGATACATTGTACACAAAATGTAACTCATAACTGAGTTATACTATTTTATAATATACGTATAATATAATAATATACACGCATATAATTAGCAACACTAATTGACTCTAGCCATTTCATTTTAAAATGTTTATATTATAAAGATCACTTTATCTGTCAAATATTTAAATATTTCACATGGAAAATAATTTATAAGGGTACAAAAGGCAAAGGTGTTCATTTATGTACATATCTAATATTACAAATGAAACTATTGTTCTTTGAGTAATTTTTTCATCCTTGACTAGTCACACATCAAGTTGAAATAAATCTTGTTATCAAACCTATAACTTAAGAACATGTTGTCACACATAAAGTTCTAATTAATCTTGTTATCGAACCTTTAACTTAAGAACATGTTGTCTGGCATAAAGTTTAAATAAATCTTGTTATCAAACCTATAACTTAAGAAGATGTTGTCACACATAAAATTCAAATTAATCTTGTTATCGAATCTATATTTTAAGAACATGTTGTCACACATAGAATTCTAATTAATCTTGTTATCGAACCTATAACATAAGAACATGTTGTCACGCATAAAGTTCAAATTAATCTTGTTATCGAACCTATAACTTAAGATTCCAGTATGCAATGCAAGTTGGAAAACAAATAAAAATCAGCATGGTTTGGGGTTAACTTTTTGTTTACTGACGTATTGATCGGTATATGTAATGTAAAAGTTTCGAGTCTTGTTTGGTAAGTTATGTAGAAAAAAAACAAAACACACACTGACAGAACAACATGCCAGATAGAGAGGTGATCCAATGAGAGTGAGCTACTTTAAAGGGTTACCCCGGCTTTTAAAATGCTTATTAACGTAAGATATTGCTTCTTTAAAGTGATGCTGTACTTCAGATATCTGGATTTCTTAGATTGTTCCTATTTTAATAGCTCAGAAATTCCCAAAACGATATGAAAAAAAAAATACCTTGCAAACGACACTAACAATCAATGCATATTACAAATAAACAAAAATAGCCCTTACTGCGTTTGTCATGCAGTAGATAAATGCAACAAAATCAGTCATAAATCGCACGTATCATGTGAAATATTACTTGAATCTTTTAACCTATCTTTCTGGGTACATTTTTAGTCTGATTTTCTTAAAATATATTAGCCCCATTTGGAGGCGTGCAGCTTTAAATTCACATCTACACTTTTGGTAGGAAGACCTCAGGCACCGGTCCTATACCAATTAATTTAGAAAGTGAGAAATTCGATTATTGCGACCTAGTGCCTGTTGAAAAACAAACACATCTTTTTAGTATGCTGTATATCGCATCGCCTCTTGCATTCTTTTGAATTCAATTGGACAACTCGGTGCTTATTCAGTTTTTTTAATCACGAGAGCTCGCAACAGAGTTGGGTAGTTTACGCTTCACTAGAGCGATTTTAACAAGGGAGGGACTATAACTTCCTTACTGTAAAAGATTAATTGCGCACCTGTATTTTAAAAACTATTATTTGTCAAGCGTTATATCATTAAAGGGGAAAATGAACTTATTTAAAGACATTACACAGTCACTTAGCTCGTCCAAACATTGTATTAAAATCAATTTCATGTCTAAGAAGTGAGTGATTAAAGAGCCGCCTTTAATTTTTTTACACACAATTTATACACAGTCGACCTATTACATGTGAGTTAATTTATCAACTTCGAAAACAAATCATGCACAATGATATTTTATGTGACATTTGAAAAACAAAATGAACTATATACACCTTTGATACGAAAAAGTACGGTAATAAATTATTACACTACATTGTATTAAAATAATTTCAATTAAATTATGACGAAGACGACACTTTGCTTAAAACTTTAATTTATTTATTTCTTAAAAAGAAACAAATTAAGTTAAAAGTCAACTAACATGTTCAATAAATTTGTCAAAAATAATGTATTTATTTATGTACATGTATTTCAAAACGACTCAGTAGTCTAATTTGAGAGTCATCGTCGGATACCCAAAGTTGATTAACAAGTAATCAAATAGTAAATATTAATGGTTCGCCGATGATTTGAGATATAATTTGATAAAGATTGGATTGTGCTATTTCAACGCAATATAAGTCTATTAATGCATATCTGTCGCCAAAAGAGGATGTTGTCTTCTTGTTTATAAAATAAAACATAAACATAAACGTAAACGTAGGAACTATATAAATATGTTATATTGACAGTTTATTGGCGTTTTATACATTTCTTTACACTATACTGGGATCCTACATATTACCGAACAAAATATGTTGTTTTTTCGCTGTAAATTTTATTTAAAATAATAAAAAAGTATGACATTTTACCCAAATAATTTTGGGTTCTTAATATACGTAAACATTCCTTTATCAAACATAAAATCAAACATGTGTCTTTAAAGTAGGGCATTAAAAGAGGAAAAAATCGTGTAGACAACTCAATTTACCGGACATTGTGTTTCAAAATTATTTGAAGTCTTAAATTGAAATTAAGCAAGGAAACTACGACTATTGAATGGCAATGTTAAGATACTGGAAAAACCCAGTATGTCACTAAAATAGACACGACAGCCATGCTTGTTACGAAGAGGCCAATATAGGGGTGTAATTGAAATTAACACTATTAACTCAATTAACGTATTGATTCTTCATGATCCTTAAACGTATGACACATTTTGATATTCAAATGGAATTCTGTTCTTTCTCATACAGTTTCCTTTTGGTCATCATGTAGCATGTTGCTAAAGCCATAAAGTCTATTTTTTGTACATTTCATGTAGAGTTTCCTCCCATGGGCGTAACCCGTTTCCTTATATGTTTTTTAATTTTGCATTTCTTTGTAAAAGACAACAACGAGATATTGTTTGAACGAAATTTTAAATTACTTTTTATCATTAAAATATGTTAAGATTGTCTCCTGAGGTAACGTTTAGAAGAATTAAAAGTAAAACCTATCTAAAAAAACCCATTAAGGGCCTCCATATTCGGTCCTGCGCAGAACAAATTATTCCCCCGCATGACCAGGTCATAGAATAACTAGTAAACAAAACGGCATGTTAGTAAATAAAGAACTGAATCAACAATATTTGCCTGAGAGTGGTTTTGTTGTTATTTCCTTTAAAAAAGAAAGTGTATTTACGATTCAGAACGGATGATTTTTTAATCGAAGCAAAAAATAAAGCCTTATTTGACAGGCATAGATTTTGTCTGGTAAACTGATTGTCCGGTAAACATGTAAGATCCCAGTAAGGTTATTTAAGAGCAACACAATTTTGGGATATGCATTCAATTTGCTTCCTTTTTTGAAGGTGCGACTCGTAATTGTGACTCACCACTGACAAATAATCGTCAAGTAACTTAAGCATCCAACTTGACATTTTAGACACAAAGCAACTTAATGTTTAGCCGCTCATTGAAGTTCAAGATATATACTGGACGTATTTTGTGTTTGCCTACTATGTTATAGTAAATTCTTACACGATCCGCATTTTTCCCCATTGAACATAGAAGAACTGAAAATGTGTGTTATTATACAATTATTGACTAGTGAGCCATTGAATATGATGTGATATTCACCGGCAGATGACATATTGACCGAGGCGATAGCCGAGGTCAATATGACTTTCTGCCGGTGAATATCACATCATATTCAATGGCTCACTAGTCAATAATTGTTTTATTATATGAATAGGCTAAGAAATAAAAAAATCACGAAAAGTACAACCTTATAATATACATGTACAAATTTTGCCTCGTTGAAGCGCGGGAAAAAAGACGCACGTGTTAGGCGTGCAACGACTTCGCGAACGCTGCGCATACAAAAGTAATTCAAGTTTATACTCATTATTGCGGCGTAGCCTTTAAGTAAAATGGTAATGTATTGATATTTTAATCGAGAAATATGCCATAAAGAACAAAAAGCATCAATTATTTTTTAAGTAACACGCGTATTTAACAGTCTACGGTGTATGATCATTGAATATGAGTCTCAATCTATTTTTAGACTGGGAAAATCCAATTCAGCCAGTGAATATGATACTTCACCCAGTAAATATGATTTTATAAAAAGTTCTGTTGACTACTGTTTGGACCAATGAGATTGCAGCTATATTTAGATCATATAATAATATGCAATAAAATCACAGTTTGACGTTCTACATTGAGACATGTGAAGTAATCATTATACACGTGACATAACGCGCTGAAAATAAGTACGGGAACAAATCAGGCGCAATTTAGGTTCATATCAGGCACGGCAGCATTTATGTGTTGATGTCGTGTTAGAATCGAAATAATATATCAAAATCGGTAGTTTTATCGCTTTATAACATCACTGTTTGTCGTTCGGATGCGCATCATTATATCACTCGGGCTACGCCCTCGTGATGTAATTCCTCGCATCCGAACTCCAAACAGTGATGTTTTTGAGCGATAAAATCACTGTTTGGGAAATATCATTTCTTAAATAAATGGACGTAAATATAATTGTGTTATAATAGAAAATTCTTGATAACAAGACATCTAAGGTTTGTCATAATTGTTTAATAATCAATGTGGTCAATCTCATAATCATATACAGAATTCAATTCATTAAAAAAATTTGAAATCATCTGTTCAGAAAAATTGTACATGTAGAAAGCTATTGCGACCAAGGCCAAAGGAGCAGACAACAAAGCAAAGCGTTTGAAAAATCTCGTCCAGTTTCCTTTTTTAGATTTCCTATCATTTTCTGCCGTTTTCCTGTGACTGAATCTTGATGTGCATTGATTCGCCCCGCCATGACCTGGAAGAAAAAAAACAAAAACAACGATAAACAAATTAATTATAATTGTTAGATAGATGAGCACTCTTCTCCAAAATGCACTCACTGTAAATGGTGCAAGTTTAAGTAAGTTTTATGCTAAAACAGAATAAATGGGGATATAAAATGAATTTCTGAGATTTTTGTTTCTAGGACTTGTCATTTTTGGCATCAATAGCATCAGTGCCTTCTTCACAATTATTATTTATAACTATGAAGGACACTGAAGTAATTTCAAACAATGATTTAACTCTGTGCATGCCTTCTGTGATTAACTATACATTGCTCTATATCTATCTATCATTACGAGTGTACGGAACCCAACTTACCGAATCTTCTTCTATGTGCTAATATGTTTCTAGCTAATCTTTTTTTCGCTTTTACTCTTGTTCCTTCCGCTGAAATTGAACACAATATCACGTGACATCTGGGGCCTTCTTTACAGACAGTAAATTTTATTTCAGTGCAATTCTGTTTTAATTCAAAACGGAATAAACATCTGTTATATTGAATTCGCCAAGAATGTAACAAAGTAAGGTGATCTCCATAGAATTATGTCTGGGGAGTCATTACTTTCGGGGGGGGGGGTCATTTAACTTTGTGAAAATAAGGATTGAAACATTTTCTTTAATAGTAGCGTGCTTTTAAATGCTTAAAGATCAGTGGTGCCAATTTTAATATTTGATTATGTAGAAAATAACTCATGTAAGTTTATTTTTCATAACTTACATAAGCGTAAAATTATCAGTTATTGCTTACAAAGTTTCGAATCACAAAGTTTTAACAAAAGTGATGTACATATACATTGTATCTCTAAGTAAAATATTGATTGTTCATGATAACGATATACATTTTATCTAAATGGCTTAAAGGTAGGTACCTTCAAAGTTGCAGGTTCGAATCCTCAATGCAATAACTGTGGTAAACTTTATAAAGATAAGAACATACTAGAATGGTATGGGAACATTTGAGATATTAGAAATATATATCGTATAAGGAAATAGTTTACCTTCTCGAATGATAATTCTTTCTCCATTGAACGTGCACTCGATTTGGACGGGTTCCACGCCAATAAAAGCTCTATGTACTTGTATTGTTTCACTTTCAACTACAGTAGATGTCCTTGACCTAATCACAACGTACTTAAAATGTATAGGCGTATTCTTCTGAACCCTGTTTTGTAATATAAAGAAACTATTTTTGTGTTTTCTATTATTATTTTGAAATTTGAGCACAATTTAAAGGTTGTAAGACATTTATGCAAAGACATGCGAAACCAAGTACGAGTAATTAATATAATTACATTTCGCATTTTAATTACTTATGTATTATCAAAAGTTAGAGCTTCCTTTCTGAATAATGCACCTTATTTTAGTAAAAGTTGAATGTTTATATATAGCTGCATTGGTTTTGTACACTAATACGTGTGTATATATCATGTATAGTGAGTAGACAGGCAGACGCGTTGATAAATTGATGTCAGAATATGGACTTTAGAAGGTTGAGTGGATTGATAAGTAAATGTCATGCCTATAATCTGAAATGAATACCGTGTGAATTGGTAATGTATGAATTGTAATCTATAGTACTTCTCAAAGAAGTATTAAATGTTCAGTCGTATGGACTAAAGACAAATAGTTTAACTGAAAAGTTCGTTAATATATTGTAATGATGTCATTTATTTAAAAAAGGACAATACCATTTTTCTAGGACCCAGCTGTCAAAGCAGATTGGTTTACATCTCTGTATTCTGGAAAATTTATTAACAGTTGAATCTAGAATGGATACACCAACAACATAGTCCCTGGGATACTCAGAATATGCTGATAGGGACTTCCGTACTTTCAAATGAACGCAAACTAATTTTGTAGAATCAATCTAAAATTAATGGAAGAAAAATAAAGATTTCATAAAACAAAGTTCTGAATGCTAACTTGATTGTGAAACATTTCTTTACAAAATGATATAATGATAGAAACGTATTAGATATTTATCCTTTTTTTATTAATTGTTGTATAACAAGAAAAAAAAATGATAAAATTATATAATGCTAACATTTTCGATACAATAAAACTTGAGTGTAAACCATAGATAAGTTATAAATAATTTTGACTAACCTTTATGTCCATTTCCCCACAAACACTTAAAAATGCTGTACGTCAAACATTTCTAGGTTTCGGCTCTATCGGCATGTATCATAGCAAAAACGTTTAAACGACGTCATTATTATAACGTAATAACGTCACTACGTCATTTAAAGAAACACACAAAGGAAAAGCGAAATAAACGTAGACTTAACTTGCAATAACTTCAACTAGCGTGTTGTGTTTACTTGTCAAAATCAGTACCGGATTTCAATCAATCTCTGATACTATGTAACCGTATAAGTCTTGCTCTTTTCTACATACACATGTGAAGACAATTAGCAACAATTTTAACCTAGAATAATTGTCTACATACATTAATATTCATACATGTATATCATAATAAAGGTTTGAACGACCGTTATCAACTTAATACCCAGTTCCGTGTAAATAGAATGCGCATGCGTGAGGTATTACTTCCCTTGTTGTATATAAACATTTATTTGCTATTTAAAAATAATACCATCTTCAGGAGTTGTAAACATTGAGAATGTCCCGTCACTGTAATGCCCTCTTATCATTTTCTGCCAGTCACAAAACTTTGTCTGTACATTAAATATATAGGTGGTATATGGGTGAAGATCACATACAATTCTACTTGTATTGCACGATGTTTCTATAGTTATGTTGCCATGGTTTACTACCTAAACATTGAAAGTTATCAAGCATCTATTTAATATTACATGTAAATAATATTCAATAACAATTCAACATTGTATTTTAAGTTTGCTATCTTCGTTTAAAACATAATTATATTAATTGAATTTGTAATGTGCTCCAAAATTAACAAATAACTTCCTATGCATAAATTATTAGAAAAATGTAATTTTAGAAAAAAAGATCATCCAGAATGTTTGTGTCGAGTCAAGTGCAGCTTTAAAAGGAACACGAGTTTAGCACAGAAATGGCGGATGTACAGGTCAAAGTCAAAATAACTTTAGATTTTGCCATAATTGTTACAGGTCTCGTGCATAATCAAACGTTCATGTGACTCAAGCAGAAAATCTGTAAATATCCTTTGGAAAGTATCTTGAATGTTCAAATGATAAAAAAGAGTGGGTAATTTTTTTTATTTTAAGTTGTTATATTTCCAGAATAAAACTCTTATTAAGATATTATGTTGTAGAAATGTTAAAAGGCTACATCATATAGATTTTAAAAAATGTGTATTATTCAAAGTGTCCACAGAGACACAAAAACAGACAGACAGACAGACAGAAGAAAAGACATATATGTTGACCAAGGCGGGAGGGGGTCGTTGAAGAAACATAAAGTATATTGTAAAGAATCTAAATGCCATGAACTTAGCTTACCATCACTGATTCTGTATCATTTTTTCTATAGGAAATTTGATAATACTTGTCATCAAAATCTGAACATTTTGATCTCTCCTCATACCACCATGTCATATTTATGCACGTGCTGTTTATAGCTTCTAATAACACTTTGTCGACAGAGGGCGCTTTTACTTTAAAGATAAAAGAAACATGCTTATAATTGCACATAATAATGATAATATCTTTAATTGCACATAATAATGATAATATCTTTAATTACACATAATAATGATAAAATCTTTATTTAAAGAAGGTATACAATAACAATCATATATAAATATAATATAACATGCCTCAATCGAAATTAAAGTAGAACAAGTGTATGTAAAACTATTGATTTCTATAACAAAAATGACTTCTTTTCATTTAAAATAATACAGTGTACCGCAAAATTGTCTAATTAACAGAACAATAGTAAGATCTTTATAAAGAGATTGTGCGCTCTTTATCGTTTCTAGTGTACGGAAAATCAAAAACAGTATCTAACATTTTCCGCAATATCCACACTATACAAATTGTTGTTTGAACGATTTCAAAATGCTTACGAATTCTCGATGCCAATATGGAATCGAAAAAAATGACATTTAATTCTCGTAATTGTGACCCCAAGAAATCAAAACACTTGAAGTGTTGTTAGCAACAAGCCAAAAGAATTTATGCCAAGAAATAATCATACAAACATAGGATATTTGTTTTTGTGTAAGATGAAATTTTATTTCGTCGCATGAGTTTCAAAAACAGTTCACGAGATTAAATAAGATAACATCTTACTAAAAAAAACATTTTATTTTTTTGCTTAAATACACGTAATCAAGGGCTGCAGACTGCAGGGCTGTGGAATTTTCTGATCTTTGCAATCTAAATCGTACTGTATATCTGTATGTATTTTCCGGTATAAGTTTATTTTTATATACTATAATTCATCTTGCAGGGCACCGAGTTGCAGCGACAGCGTTTAGATTTTTTGGTATAACAGTTCGAGTTTGATACATACGGAATTTTGCAAGACCAGAGTTTCTAATTTGCATTATGAAATCATTTATGTACATTTTTATGACAGCAACACTTTATCCTTGTGTATCGTGGCTAATTACTTAAGAAAGAATGTTAAAATCACTAAAAAGACACTTAAAACAATTCTAAAAAAAGTTGCCTTAACTGAGATTTGAACCCCAGTCCTCTCACTTCCTTAACGAGCGTGTTACCCCAGGACCATGCGGAAGTTATAAAAAAAATGTTTGAGGCAAAACAGATGATTCTAAATGTAGAATTTCATCCTCATTAATTTCAAGATATTTCTTTCACAGTAAACCTGTTGTTTAACACTGATATGTAAATAATTTAACGAAAATCTTCACGCCCAAACAGTACGACATGTATATAATATTGCAATGATTTCTTCAATTAAAAAATTCTGTTTTCCCTACAGGTAGTCTGTATTTTAAGCTACAGTCTCACTTAAATCCCAGCAGAGCCCCGACAGAGCCCCGGTAGACGGCCGCGGTGATCCGGGAACGACCGGGGTACGACCGGGAACAACCGGGGTACATCCGTAACTCTGCCGGCAACGTCCGGGATGATCCGAGAACATCCGGTATTCGACCCCGAATGGAATAAAATATTTAATATTACCGGGGTGGTCCAGGATGATCCGGGAAGTATAGCTTTGCCGGCTCCATCCTTACCTCTGCCGGGAACGACCGGGGAAGCCCCGTAGCCCCGTAGCTGTGCCGGCACAAACCGATGATGATCCGGGGTATGATATAGCCGGTAGAGCTACGGTAGAGCCCCGGTGAATGCTGGCAGTGCCCCGGTGAACGCCGGCAGAGCCCCGGAGGATGCCGGCAGAGCCCCGGAGGATGCCGGCAGAGCCCCGGAGGATGACGATGGGGCTACGGTTGATACCGGTAGAGCCATGGCAGTGCCCGGTTCATTTCAAAAGAATGAGACAATTTGCGATGATTGCACTTGTTTGTCTTAAAACCCTTCCCATTTCCCTTCTATCCAGTCTTGCATAAGGATTTTTCAGAAAATCATCATGAATTACTATTCTGGAACAAAAGATATTATATTTAATAAAAATTATGTATCAATGTAATCATGTTCACTCGTTTTTAATCCACCGGGGCTCTGTCTGGATCGTCCTGGGCTCTGCTGGGGCTCTGCCTTGATTGACTGTGGCTCTAGCTGGGTCAACCGGGGCTCTTCCGGTGTCATTCGGGAACGACCAGGGAAGCACCGGCATGAACCGTAGCTTCACCTGGGCTCTGCCTTGATAACCCGTAGCGCATCCTGGGTGGTTAGTTGGGAATTACGTAGTGCTGCCGGGGTAAGTGTGACTGCAACAATAATTTCACCCCGGATCATCCCGGATCATCCCGGTAACTTACCGGGATGGTCCTGGGCTCTGCCAGGAGTAAGTGAGACCGCAGCTTAAGACGAATTTAGCAAAAAACATAAGATTGTAGCTAAAGGGTAAGATTGAAAATTAACTCAATTATTATTAAGGAGCATTGAGAGTATCTCGGAACATATATTTGGATCTCATGTATTTTATTAACACGGATATCACGAGACACAGTATCACACCTCGTGAGATATCACGAGACACAGTATCACACCTCGTGAGATATCACGAGACACAGTATCACACCTCGTGAGATATTATCATAGTAGATCCCACTCGAGACAGGGACAAGTTCTAAACCATGATTCTACTTTTATTTCTGTATTCTACCAAAGGTACTTGACATTCTATCAATAATTAAAAAAATATAAGCAAATAACGGCAAACAACCCTTCTTCACTATAAATAAACACTCCTTGAGTTTATTTATTATAGAGCTGGGGGCGTTTCAATAATTTCTTGTTTATTTGAATATTTTTCAATTTTTGATAGAATGTCAAGCTCCTGTTATTCTACCTATTTCATAAAATAATTTAATGTCGAACGTATAACCAAACAATATGATTTGTGCAGAATGTCGGTATTTGCTGTGCATTTTGGTAATTAGACTGATCAGATGAAATCATCCTAAACGGCCGAGTATAAAATAAATAAATTATTTGTTTAACTCATCTAAGCAATCCGGTTACTAGTAGCTCAATAAATAGAGCGTTGGACTGTGAATCGGGCGACCTTGGTTCGATTCCCGGACGGCGCAAGTCACTTTCATGAAATCTTTTCTAGGGTCATTCGCACAGTACCTCTGCTCTTGCATGTACAAAAATAATCGGTTCTGGTAAACTGCTTGACTGCCTCCAGGAACGATGCGGCGGCTGAACTATCCTAGGGTATATTCAATGTGACTAACTGCCGTGCTCCGGAGTGAAACCTACCACCACCATCACCACTTTAGCTTAACTATTTCCTATACAATTTGAATGACTAATTCATATTTAAGACATTAAAATTCTTGTTGGCTAGTAGAATCGAAGCACTGATCTTAAAGAGGTAAGTATTTACTTGGACATCGCCGAAATACTGCTGCAAATAGCGAAGTATACAAGTTTGCTTCTTCTTTTTCAGCTGGGGAAGATTTGTTTAATTATTCAAATGGGAAAAAATTAAGAACATTTTGGGTTTCTTGTTCATGTGATGTTAAATTCTCCATTATTCTGATTGGTTTCGGGCAGGCGGTGCACGGTAGAATTGGTCAATTTTTGTTAACTGTATATAGTGCCGCCCTAGAGCGACAATATCTTTTATTAACGCGTTAGCTGTTTCTAAATATTTTTTAACTTAACTAATCTAACAAGAGATGTATACCCGTTGATCAAGTTAAAAAAATCTTTAAAAAACATCTTTAAAAAAAAAAAAAAAAAAAAAAAAAAAAAAAAAAAAAGGAAAAATAAAGTAAATAATGTAGCTTACAACAATCGTCCGGATTTACTTCCCATTCTTTATTAAAAACCATGTGTTTAGTTTTCTTCTCGATAATTATTACGCTTAGACGAAAGTTTTCATTAAAACTCATCCCGGAACCGTAATTCCACGTACAGGATGTTAGTTCCATTTCCGGACACGAGCCTACATTAAATGAAACCTTTTAATTAAAAAGATTTAAACCCAGTGAGAAATTTTATCTTTTTAAAAAACTTTTTTTTAAAAGTTTTTTTCATGAAAAATAGAATAGTAAATAATAAATATTTTTAACATTATTGATAAACGGATACATGTGTATTACCAAGTAATATTAATGTCCATTTGTTCCCGTTTAGGAGCTTGGCGAGGAAGTGCCCAGTTTACAGTCAGACTTGTTGGCGATATCCAGTTCTGATATGTCATAACGCATGTGACGTCATCACTCACCGTACCTTCTGTAAATAAATAGAGGATATTGAATGAGTGTAAGTTCAATACAGAATTTATTGCACGAGTTGAATAAAAATGATATTTTTCGAGCCTTTGGCGAGCATAACATTATTTTATTCAACGAGTGCAATAAATTCAGTAGTGAACTTATACGAATTTAATATTCTATTTATCACACACCCAAAATAAAGACCGTTTAAAGTGAAATAAGAGTCATTTTTCATTGACGCGCCTTAAGTATAACGATAACATTTAGCGCGTCTTTACACTATGTTTGTATAACGCTAATGACGTCACGTCAAAATATATGCACGGCCGTGCAATACCATATTTACGGAGTCGCAAAATCGGCACGGGTGTGTGATAAACGATATTAATGTAAGGAGAGACTAACGAAAAATGTTTCATTTGCGAAAGTAAAAAAAAAACGATTGTGACTCTGCAGCTCTTCCGTAAATTACAACTATCTTCACGGTAAAATTTAATTTCCGTGTATTGTGATTGAAAATAAAGAGCGCCTGTCAAGGTTAATATCATACATTTATGTAATTTACTTTTACGTGGGCTAAACGGCTATTTGTAATAAAAAAATGAAATAGCGAAAAATATTAAAGTTTCAACATAAGAATGTTATATCTTTATTATAGAATGTAAAATGATTTCAAGTTAAGTGGGACTAGCAATTTGAAAAAAAAATCTTAATATTAGTTTGTAAAATCTAAATAATTACAATATATTACTTTATTATATCAGCCGTTATAAAGCATAATTTAGCGTCTAGGTTTTTGTCAATACGTTTATTTTCTTCCCTTTTTATGTTACTATTGACATGTAAACCGCTTGCATTGTTCACTTAAGTACGTAAGATATACAGGCATGAAATACACGACTGAGAAAATAATACATAATAATAATTCAAGCTATATCAATTTGCAAAGTAACAGCATGGGTAGTGTTAACGAATGTATAGGATTTTATGGTGGCTGACTTGTGCCATATTGTATTAAAAATCGTTGCGCGGAGCGACAAGCGTACACACGAAAATACGACAAAGTGACGATTCTGTCATACTTTCGCTCCTCGGGGTGCAAGGCGAAAACATTTTAATGCGAAAGTACGACATGGCACAAATCAGCCACCATAAAATCCTATACATTCGTTAATTTTTTTTTTTTGTATTTATAAACAAAAACTCATGGCCCTTAAGGGTATAAAAGTGAACAATCAAACAATACAAAAAATAATAATACAAACATGGCATAGAAGTAAATAAGTAAATAAAGAAGATGACTTAGTGAAATTTCAGTATTATTGCTTTAACAAAAATGGCTGGATTAATAAAGTATTTCTGTTGTCGCTACACATTAGAGCCTGAAAATTTAGAATAATAGGAAACCTTGAATAATAATAACTGATACACTTGTGTCTTTCATGAGTAAAATAACTACATTTAAAAATATAGTGAAATTCATCACCTATTTCTTACACAACCCGTGTTACTTCGCAAATTGATATATCCCGCCTAAGTTGTGGACAAGAAGATATTATATTCTATAGGTAAAAACCGACAAAAACGTGGCGGATGGCTTTTTTATTTCTTTTTTTGTTGTTGTTATCCTGTGGATTCTGATTGACGCCGTTCTTGGACATTAACAAGATTTGACCGTTCTTAGGAACGGTCAGATCTTGTTAATGTCCAAGAACGGCGACAATTACCATTGTGGTATTGACATAAAACGCTTAAGGCAGTACAAATGAAACACGTGTATTTTAGCAGTATCCCTTCGAAGAAGAAAACGAAATGGGGAAAAACATTTACACTGCAATTATTCTGACAAGTAAATGGCCTACCTATTCGACCATATATATGTGCAAATATGCTAAAAACCGACACAAATATCCATGATGATGATAATGATGATGATGTCATTGTTGATGACAACGCATGTTTATGACTTGTTCAATATATACACAGATTGTCATCTTCAACGCCGGCACTCCCACCGAATTGTCTGAAATAAACGGAATACTTGAGCTCTCATTTAAGGTTATTTATTTTACTTTCGAATATGTATCATATACATTAATATAAAAACTACTTTTAATATTAATTGCAAATTATAACTAGTGCCAAGAGTTAAAGATACACTATGCTCATCCTTGGATAATAGATTTAATTCACAGAAATTTATCAAAATCAGCGAAATTCTTACTGAATATGTCTATGTTGGAATAAAAGAATGAATAAACTATGTGTGGGAAGCTGCATTCCCTATTATAGATCAAGTAAAGTTAGCCTTTTCAACAAAAAAAGAACAAAAAAGAAGAAGAAAAAAAAAGAAAAAAGAAGAAGATAATATGATAGTTTATTCATACTGTGACTATATCTGTATAGTGTGTAGCATTTTAAACATGACATATCTAGTTTGTTTGAAGTCAAACATGTTTACTTTATACATGTATTTACAAAGAGACTGTGTAGCAATTATCAATATTTTCTAATATCAAATTCGAGCAAAATATACCTTTAAATATAAATCAATCATTAATTATACTAAGTTATATAGAGGATATTGACAAGCTGTATCATATGGGAGACATACCCAATCTCCATTTCTTCACTTACATGCTTTATTTTAATATGAGGGACGACCATGTCCGAGTTGTTAAGATCGTCGACTTCAAACCACTTTATCTCACCTCTATCGGTTTGAATCCAAAATAATGCACGATGGGCACCCGAGGTCTTTCTCCACCAGTAAAACTTGAATGTCGCCATGCGACCTTTACTGTACTGGTACGAAATACAGTAAAAGTTATATAAACATTAAAAAAAATGATATGAGGTGTTTGCAAGATCGATACATATATTTACGCCGTAATGTATTTTACGTCAGCTTGTTACGTCTTACCGCGCCACTGACGTTTAACTGTATGCATATTTTACAGAGCCAATATAGATGGCACTGCCTACACACTGCCTTCGAATTCATGTATTTACTTCCACTTAAAGTAACAATTCACATGGGATGTTACAAAGTTTACATTTACTCTTCCTTACGTTCCATAAATTAAAGAAACTGATCAACGGAAAATAGCAATAGAAATTTCATGAAAAATACAACAGTATTATTTTGTACCTATTGTTTTCCTGATCCCTTTCTTATTCCTTCCGTTTAAAGTTGTTTAACACAAATAAAAAAAATCAGACTGAAATTTTTACTTTTGTTAAAAAATTTTATGGTCGTTCTTTATCCATTCAAAAAACGACAATACAGGGGTATAGTAATTTCAAGCTATTTTATGAAAAATATATCTATAATTACAGTGACCTTGTTCGGACTTGTTCAATTTTGAATTTTCAATACATTACTAAAAAAGAAAATAAACCGAGTTAAAATATTCTTAAATTTGAGGGTCTCTTTAAACTTGGTAGTAATTGGTAGTAGTTGGAGAAATCTTTTCAATGTATCGGACTACACAATTAAGCGGTACATCGATTTTATAATGTGATCTTTTACTTCAACTTATCATTTTGACATTTAGATAACTACAGTGTAACCTGTTGAGGACGGCCCTCTGTATAGCAATAACCTCTTTACAACAACAGTATCAATGTGATAACCTCTCTAGAGTATCACCTATCAACAACAACCAAAATATTTGTCTTCCTAACGTTGTTGTCCTGCAGTAGTTGTACTGTATATGATTACGAGTAAATGTACAAAGTTATTTGAATTGCCACACGAGAAATAGTAAAGACTATCTTAGAGCAGATAAGTAGAACAATAATTAACAGTTATATATGTGCTAATAAAAACGACATTTCCCGCCTTTCTCCAAGTTGATCTCGTCTGGTTTAGACTATGGAGATACCAAATGTAATAAAAATAATGTTAATTCTCGATTTATTTCTTAAATGCTTTCACACATGCGTAATCGTATATACACTTTTTTGCATTTTGGCAAATAAAGGAAATTGAATCATATATCGAATATCTAAACATATTTTACATGAAACTATTGCAGTTTAGATTGTTTTGTCTTATCATCCATGAACTAGGGCAGAAATTATTTTACTATAATCTCATATTGGAGGAATCTTTATTTTAGTCATCACAAAACAGAATATTTTAGCACATGTTTTCACATTAAAGTATTTTCATTATGTTTTTTACTGGCAATCTTGCTAAGCTTTATACTAAATTTTTTTTCCGATTTTATATATACAATGTAGTTTGTCGTTCTACTTTTTTGTTCGCGGCTTTGATTGATAAAAAACGTGTTTGGCTGTACTTCTATCGGGAGAAAGAAAGTGCATTTATTACGATGCTTTCTCATTTATATGATCTTCATTTGTTTATTTTATCATTCAGATATCTAACGTAAACTGGTAAATAAACGATTTTAACATATCCTGACAGTATATGTGTGCTTTATATTATTAAATCTTGTACTATTTGTTAAGATGTTATTTGGTTGGAGCTCTCTACATTGTCGGCTGTTGTAGTCATTGTATAGCTCCATACGAACCTGAACCTGAGGGCGCTTCCGTCGCAAAAAATGATAAATAAACCTTTATTTCCTCAAATCATATAAAACCATTTAAATGTAGCAATAATGGAAAATGCACTTAAAAAGTTAAAACAATGATGAAATTCTAACAAATCTCAATTATAGATAAAGATAGGATATAAACTAAAAAAATAAATAATCAAAGATGCGTTTTAATTAGATGCCTTACCAAATATTATTATCAAGTATTAATTTTTATGAGCATATTTTATAATGATTTGAGAGCACGATTTATTATAAGTTTCTGCTTGATGGAACAATTAACTTGTCATATTTGAATATTGATATATAACTTCACGCATGACATATATGTTAAATATACAGCAAACATTATTTCCCTGTATCATAGTTATAGTGATTGTTTACGACAACAAAATTGTCTTTTAATGAAGTTTCATCTTGTTTCCACTTCCTGGTGGGTTTTTGTTAAAAGTTAAAACAGACATGCGCTTTTACAATATATATCATGTTGTTTTATTTTATATTATATTTTTATATTGGTATACCAATTCTTTACTAAAAATTTACCTAACTTGGTTACTGTACATGTTATTTCCCGCAAATCCTCTTTCGGGTAAAACATCTCAGATCGAATATGTAACATGTGTGTGTAAAATTGACGTGTGCCTGATTTGATATGTTCAAAAGTCAATTGTCACATATGGTGTGATATAAAATAATGGAACTACAAATTAAAATATATCCAGAAACATCATCAGTATCGCCAAATTAACGTTATCCTGCAAAACTAAACGAGCCGCGTCACGACAAAACCAACATAGTGCGTTTGCGATCAGCATGGATCCAGACCATCGCTGAAGGTCGCTTAATTGAGCCGCGTCACGACAAAACCAACATAAAGGGTTTGCGACCAGCATGGATCCAGACCAGCCTGCGCATCCGCGCAGTCTGATCAGGCTTGCTGTTCGCTATCAGTTACTCTACTTGTAATAGGGTTGGTAAGCGAACAGCATGGACCCTGATCAGACTGCGCGGATGCACAGGCTGGTCTGGATCCATGCTGGTCGCAAACCGATTATGTTGGTTTTGTCGTGACGCGGCTCAATTAAGCGACCATCATCATTAAATGTCACATCCTACTGCCGGAAATTAAATGCAATGTTTACCCGAGACAAATAATGTCAAACGAGGAATAAGTCGAGGAGTAAGTCGAAGGTAAGACGAGGGTAAGTCGAGGGTAACATTTTTGTTAAGTGTGAACTGTTTGTTCTATCACCGCCAGTGGGATTATTATACTGAACAGATACAAATTAATATCAAAGATATACATCGCAAAAAAATGATAACTTGTTGGCACCTGGTATACCTATATAGTAAATAAATCACGTGAGGTATAATGGTATGAATCATTGTTATATAGCAATGAACTTTTCTTATCAACATCATCATCAATGTTCATTATAATTATTTCAATTATCAAGATAACAATAATCATGATTATAAGAAGCAGCATCATAACGACCGACCATCATGACTCATCATCATCATTGTGACCACCACTTCGACAGGTCATTCTAAGTACCAAAGATGCTTAGTTGACCTTCCATAACTCGGGAGAATGTGGTTCTACAAAGGATACAAAGGATAATTTTGACAGATACCAGGTTGTTGTTGTCGTCTGCTCCTGCTATCAGCTACATATAGAAGATCAGGATTTGAGGAAAGATCAACATGACAAAGAGGTCTCTGATGAGGTAACAGATACGGACCGATGTAACGAAGTAAAGTGACTCCTACAGAATTAGGACTTCCTGATCTTTAACTTTTAAAGAATACGGACTCTCCGACCATAATATTATGACCTCCCCGAAATTAAATGACCCTCGCGAAGTATAGTGACCCCCGTAAATTAAAAAGGTAACCACTATTATTGTTGTCCTTTTTTAAGAAAGGTAACTCCTTTCAAAATATACGTTAACTTAACGACGATTAGTTAAAAGGAGGAAGTAGAAGCTCTGACATTTCCTTTATTAATTAAATAATTACTTGATCTTAAAGCTGGTTATTTTATTTCTTAAATCCAGCAGCTATAACTGGAATGATCTTTGCAGGCGAATTCTTTTTTGTTAAGTTTGGCCTTTGTTGGCTGATTTTACTTCAGAAGCATGGGAGTATATTTACTTCTTGTCTTTACTTTGTACAACATCTAATGCAACAATAACAACAACACACGTATAAGTTATACGTTTTATATAATAAATTGATAAAATTCCACAACAGAAATGGGGGCTTATATCTTTAAATATTTTAAGTGGAGGTGTCTGTTCCCATGCAGGTATCATAGAAAATGGGTCATTTTTTTGTTTACATTAATGACAGGGGTGCCATTATTCTATTTCGTTACAACGGACAAAATTTCGAATAAGCCGACAGACGGACAAAACGATTACGTTAGGTTTGCAATAATCACTCTCCCGTGATTACATTAACAGTTTTAAATAATGTGGTACTGGTACACTGCATCGAATTATACAAACGAATGAGATTTATTAATATAATACCATGTCCGTTTGTCTCCCGGTCATTACGTTCCTTGTTTGAGCATTTTTAAATTGAGAACGAAATACGAAGGAACAATTTCAGACGGCCACCGTCTGTTGTTTGGTAAATGTTCATTTTATACGTAGTAAAGTCGTACGGTAACCGTTCATAACTTGTTTGTTACTTGTCTGTGGATATTCGGTGGTCATTTGACTCGGACACGGACAAGTAACGGACGCGTATCGGAGGCCTACCAAATATGTAACGCACAAAACACCTACACAATTACTAATAGACCTCTTAGATTTCTTCGAAACAGCAAGAACCATGCATGTATTTATCAAACACTTGTGTGCTACTTCAATATATTAAAAGAAGTCTTGGTTTACACAGAGAAACACAATTAGGTCAGAATACAAATACTGATACCGTGCAAATCATTTGTGATGGAACACTAAGAACAACAACTACAAATGTTGCTAAAATGAAGCAACTGAGAAGCTCCGCGCAAAAAAAAATGCAGCTCATTACAGATACTTTACCAAATCATTCCTCCGCACGGGTCATTTTCTGTTTAGATTAAGTACTATTGTACATTATTCCGCATGTTTTGTAAATCATTTATATTTGAATAATTATACTTATCGTATGTACTTTCCATGAGAGAGAAGTCAGGAGTTAAATTAAAAAATAATATGATGCACTAATGCCTACCTGGTAAGGAAAATAATTCCAATACAAACAAGACTTACACGAATTGAAAATGTAATGTGACATGACAGTAATGCAACATTGTTCTGTTTGTGTCACTATAGTACAAAAAAAATTAGATGAGATAAAAAATATCAAAGTACGTACATTTTCTTTTTCACCTAAAATGCAACTCATTTTCTACAAATACCAACAACTAAACATGGTAAGAAACAATAAATCCATATGTAAATAAGCCGAAAAAACTTTCATCGACTTTAATTGTCAAAATGTCTGCTACAAATTTCTCGGCAAATGGTATATATCATATTATATCAAGAAAGGCATCAAAGGGCGTCCGCAAGTGATGATGAACAAGTAGACATCTGATGACCAGATATCTTTATTGACTATTCAATGGTTAATTGGATTTTACCAGAATTGTACATATAGATGAATGGGCGGAAGAAAGACATTGTTCATCATGAACTTTGGTAGGCTT